TTTGAGGTGTGGGCCCCTAGTTTCGGCGGTCTGCAAAAGTCAGGGGCCCACACCTCTAACACGAAGGTCTGTTGCTTTCCCAGCCCCGTTGCCTGGGTCGCTTCACCTACTCCTCCACGGTGATGGTTTCGCAACTGCACGCACGTTCTGGGCCATATGCCTTCAATGACTCCAGATGCCTTCACTGATGCACAAGATAAGCACCACGAGGGTATGAAATGAAGAGAGATTAGGGGCCCACGCTAGGGGCCCATGGGTTTTATCTTTGAGTGAAACACTCCGACGTGGTGTTGCATGCTTTGCGGTTGTCTATCACCGAGGACCCTAACAGCCAAGAAGCCAGCTGCCGAAACTTCCTCAAGGTCTCATCACTGGCTGTTCCCAAAGCTTGCCTCGGTGTTCCAGCAGCAAGGGTATGGAGGGACTGCCCGTAAAACAGTTCGTAAAACCAACTAGAAGTCTCACAGCTAAGCTATAAAAATGTGACTTTTGCTACTGCCCATCATGTCTTGCTGAATCTGCCCTAAGCCGCCATTCTCCGCCCTCAATGTCCATCTTCATCCTCGGGCCGTTGAGGGTCCAGGCGTTGGGTTTGAGAGACTCTGAGGTTGGAGCTAAGCTTCCAAGGCCCGTCGGTCGGATCTGAGAGCTTCTGGATATCGGGGCTGTGGGAATCTTATTCTGGGGGGACATGTGTTCACCATTCTCTCTGGCAGAAAGAGCTCTTCGGCCCCCTCGGTTGAGCAACTTGACGGACTGCGTTGATGCCCTTGCTAACAACACGCCACGGCAGCAGAGCGCAAGAGAGAAATACAGAGAGGCAGAGAGAGCGAGATAGGCGCTTGCCCGTCCTCATAAAGACAGGAAGCCTGAACCCCTGAAGCCTTAATCCTAAAGCCCCGAAGCCCCGAACTCAAAAACAAAACTACTTCGGGATCCGAGCGTCAGCAGGGAGCGATCTGGGCCACCGCCCTTGGAAGTCTTTGTCAGGACCTGATCTTCGAGCTTCGAAGCTTCGCAGGGCTCTAAGGATCTAGCACTCATAGGCGTTACTGGCTTCAGTGCTTTGGGGCTTGAAGCTTGGAGGTCTCGGGAGCTTTAGAGCTTTACGGGCTTTGGTGCTTCAGCCTCAAGGCCCTAAGCTGCGGGTGTTGAGGTTCAGGAACTCTTGGGGCTTAGTGTTTAGGGGCTGTCTGGGTTTAGGGCTTCTAGGGTCCGAAGGACTAGGGCTTCTGTGGCTTTGGGGGTTTCGAACAGACAGACCCCAAAGCCTGAGACTGTCTTTAATGGGATCCTCGGTTGCCGAGGAACTTTAGCACTTCAGAGTTACCACGATAAGGAAAGCATCTAAGTCTAAATGTATATTAGATATGATCCATGTTCATACATATCTATATATATATATATTTATTTATTTATTTATATAGACATATGTGTATATATATATATATGAGAACCCAGCATACCGTCAACCACGAATACAGTGGCTGCTTGGCGACCTGCTGCAGGGTGAGGTTCCTTGAGAAAAGGCTTTGGGGCTTTGAGCGTCGTATATAGGGACTTTAAGGGTTAGAACAGTGTTTTGGTTGGGATATACCAAACTATTGATGGCAAGAAGGAGCCTTCGGGAATAGTAGTACGAAATCTTTAGGCCTCTCATTTGACTCCTTACCACCCTACAGCATCTGTCCTCCACCGCAAGGGGCTCCAAAACACTACACCTGCAGCTTATAACCAGCTGAAAGGAAATCCTGATTCAGTTCGAAATGGGAGTTTCAGAAAATAAAGGATTCTGATATAGAACCCTAAGTAGTAGGATCCTTATTATAAGGACCCAAAACGAGGTACCCTAGTTTTCTGAAATTCCCGAAGACAAGGCTCATGGGATCCTCCACACCATCGTCCTCGCCCTTGAGGCAGGATTTGTAGAAGCTGCAGCTGTCGCAGTCCTGAACTTTCGGGTTCTAAACCCTCCACCCTACACTTCAAAGTCTATACACCTTAAACCCTCAAACCCAAATCCCAAACCCTCAACCCTACACCTAGGTGCATTGGGGCGTTGCTGGGGGATTTTGAGATTGCCACGTCGGGTATGCTTGGGGTTTAAGGGTTGCAGGGGTTAGGGCGTCGGATTGGAGGTTTCAGGGCTCAGGGTTTAGGTTTCAGTGTAGTTTTGAGGATCTTAGGATGTAAGATCTAGGGCAGAGGCTTAAGGGGAGAATCCATTCGGTTGCTTCTCGGGCTTGGGCAGTCCTGGGCAGGCTTATCCACGGTGCAATCGTACTGGAAGACAGGCACATCGTAGGTCATGTAGACATCTTTAGACCAAAGGTCGTGATCGTCGATGCCCATCGAATATGCTGCTTGGATATCCCCTTTCGCCAAGTGGTCCATGCAGATCAAATACCCGCCATCGAGGTGCTCACCAAAGCCTGACTTTGCGCTCTTGGCCTTCAGATCGGCCTCTATAGATGCAAAAAAAGGCCCTTTATGAGGCTTTAGGATGCTTTACACTTTGGGGCTTGGGGTTACACAAGAACCGTGCCCCAGCTTTGACCTAGGAACGGCGGAAGTCCTTGCAGGAGCCGCAGATGCGGAAGGAGTTCAGGAGATCCCTTGTAATGCCGGGTTCCATGGAGTCGGCGAGCGCTGCGATCTTTTGAGACAAAGCCTGTCCCTGTAGGTCTCCATGTAGGTCACTGAATTGACGGCTGGTGTCATCTCTGAAAACAGACCTCTGCCGGAGTTCCCGAAGTTGGGAGGGTGCGGGTTTGCAGGCCCTGTAACCCCCAACAGCATCGACCATCTCCACCTACGTAGTTGGAAGCCGGGAGTGGCCAGCCCTTCCTATTAATACTATTAACACCACCAACTCTCAAAGATCGATTTCTCGGGCCTCTGCTTCTGCAGCAAGCAGTCAGCGGATGGGCTTCCCCCCAAGGCCCAGCCCAGTTTGGAGCTCAGGCCCCAAAAAGCCAGGCCAAAGAATGCCCACGGAGCCATGGCAAGCAGAAAACGTCACAGCATTCGGTAAGCAGGGGGCAAAATGTCTTGAGATAAACTCACTCCAAATGGGGGTTTCCGAAAATAGGGGACCCTAACATGGCACCCTAAATAGTAGGATCCTTATTATAAGGACCTATAAAAAATAAGGACCCCTTGTTTTCGGAAACTCCCAAATTGTCTGTTCGAAACTTGACTTAAAGGCAGATGCTTTCAGCGCTGGCTGTCGCGGCATCTCAGTTGGTCCTCCGCCTGTTTCGATTTCAGGGCTTTGGGAATTGTAGGGTTTCAAGGGGTTTAGGGCTTTTAGAGCTTTAGGGTTAAAGGTTTAGGGCTGCGGCATTTAAGGTATAGGGTGTATGTGTTTCAAGGTTTGGGGTTTCGTTTTTTCTTGGGCTCAGGGCTTTATTGGTTGTTCAGGGCATACAGGATTGCCTAGAGCCTCTGTATGAGTTTCAACGGCCATTTAAGATATTACCATGTTTCATAGCCACATGCAGCCGTCATGTCCGTAAAGAACCTGCGCAGGGACACTACGACGGCTTGAAAGGATATTAGTTCGCTTAACTGACCATTGGGGTCTGAGGCTTCCGGTACCACCACATTAGGCCCTAAACCCTAAACCCTAAACCCCTAAACCCTAAACCCAGGCATACCCGAATCTGTTCCAGATTCAGGGTGATTGATCCGACAACCCTGTACCTCAACCCCCAAATCCGTCAGCCCTTACCCTGAGGGTCCAAACGACCTAATAATCATGTACTTGGGTTACGGATAATAGTTTTGTAGGTTAGTATTCAGCAGAGTATGATTATTAAGTACTTGGACCCTTAGGGTTACAACCTAGATCCTGAACGCGAAGTTTGAGTGTCAGAACATGAAAAGCCCCAACAGCGCGAGCCATACGATAATAGCAGTCCCCATATGAGAACATGCTTCAAGCCCTACAATGCCTGTGCAGAACTCTTTAAAGACCCTACATCCTTCTACAGCCTGTCGAAGCTTGCACCCGTGCGAAACGTCTTGCGCCAGTTATTGCTGCCTTGGCTTCCTCTTCGTGATAAGTGCGGTGGGCATCATGATCGCCAAAGAGCAGGGGCGCCCCAGACTAGCAGTTTGGGGTTCTATGTCCGTTCTATTTACTGGGGGTTCTCGTAGCTAGAGTTCCAGGTTCTACGAGTCTTGAGCACGAGGTCTATGTGGTTCCACAATTTATTACGTTTTTGCATAACTGACGTTCTTGGTTTGGGGGTTTAGACCCAAAGGGTCCAAAGTGCCAATTTCGTAGAATGTAGGGTTTCTGTATATATATATATATATGTATGTATGTATGTATGTATGTATGTATGTATGTATGTATATATATATATATATATTAGGAGTTACTATAATGATTTGGGGAAGTATCCCCCAACAAGAGTACCTCGGGCCCTTAGGGAGAGTTGAGGCTGCGAGGTCTGGAGTCTGGGGGTCTGAAGAGTAGGTCTGGGGGCCGTAATAATTAGAATAGGGGTTTTGGGGGGGGCTCCTTACTATAATTATAGTGGAATATATACACCAAAACTGTGTTCTAGTTATGAAGGGCCCTATTTTAAACCCGAACCTCTCGACCCGAAACCCTAGAGTGTAAACCAGAGATCAGTCTCTCACGGGGCTTAGGTTGCCTTTAAGTCAGCCTAAACCCTAAGCCCTACACCCAAAATCCTTAAAACCCTAAACCCCTAAATCCCTAAACCCTAAACCCTGAACCCCCAAACCCTAGACCCTAAACCCTAAACCCTAAAACCCTAAACCCTAAAACCCTAAAGCCCTAAACCCTAAAGCCCTAAAACCCTAAAGCCCTAAACCCTAAGCCCTAAAACTCTAAAGCCCTAAAAC